TGGTTTAGTTTTTCTCCCCCACTCTTTGTGGGCGCTTATTCCTCTTTAGTCCGTGGAAAAGCTGGTTGGCTCTAACCCTTTGTTACAAACCTTCTCACATTATAGATCTGGAGTCCTACAGATATTGCCTTCCGTTTGAGTTCATCAAAATTAAATTTTGAAACTGCTCTGACTACCTGTGCCTCTTGACACAATGGGCAATGGCGTGCCTCCTGAAATCATTATGATATAGGAAGTGTTAAAAATAACTAGATGGCAGTATAAGACAGTGTAAAAGAAGTTTTTTTTTTTAAAAGGGCAAGTTCGTGTTAAACTAATTCTCAGATTTAATACACTGCTGGCATGGGAAATGGTGGTTTTGTTATCAGGTATGTGACTGAACAGATAACTGTAAAGCTTTGATGATACCTCACCGCCAAGTTAAGGGGAAAAACTCTTGAAATATCTTGCAGATTTCAATGTCTTTTACTAGTAAGTACAAGATGGGGAAACCAGGATTTTTTATGCCTTGCCTTTCTCCTCCGTGGAGCCCCAAAGCAGCTTACATTGTTTTCCTCTCCTCCATTTTATCTTCACAACAACCCTATGAGGTAGGTTAGGCTGAGAGTGCGTGACTGGCCCAAGGACACCCAGCCAGCTTTCATGGCAGAGTGGGGGTTCAAACATGGGTGTCCCAGATCCCGGTCCAATACCGCAATCAGCTAAACCACCCTGAGCTTCTACAGTTTGATAGTTTGTGTTTTAAATCCCCATCAGAAGGTGTTGCAATATAAGAGATATAAGGGATCCGCATTCCTACTTGTATCTGACGAAGGCAAGTACTGATAGCTAGAGATGGCAGCAAGCTGGTCATTTTTGCTGGCAAAATGGGAAAGGAGTTTGTAAGCCGCTCTGAGACTCCGAGTGAAGGGCGGGGTATAAATCCAGCCTCTTTTTCTTCTTCTTGTGCCTTCTCTTGATGTCACCTGCTGATGCTGGTACAGGGCTGAATTAGTTAGGATTGTTAGTGCCATGCAGAAAGCCTGAAGTTAAGGAAGGGCGGGGCTTCCATCCTACTACAGCCCAGGGCCCATAGACACCTGACACCTTTCTGGTACTGTACTGGGAGAAACTGGTGGTCCATCATCGGCTTGACTTCATAGACAAGCCATGTGACACCAGAAAATATGAGTATAGCATCAGGTTTTGGTTAATTGTTTTAATGGTGTTTCTTTTTTTATAGTGGTATGACCCGGGGTCATTTCCTGCAGGAGCACACAGGAGTGGAGCTCCAGCAGTAAAGAGCCCAGGGGGCGGGCACATGCAACAAGCCCCACCCCCTGCTCCCAGCAGCCCCAGGCAGGGGCTTGATCGGGGGGGGGATGGGAAAGCCTCCCTCCCTCCCCATCTGTTTGCCCTCTTTCTTTCTTTCTTTGTTTCCGTCTCTTTCTTTCCCTTTCTTTGTCCTTTTTTCCTTCTCTCCTTTCCCTCCTCTCCCTCTTTCTTTCCCTTTCTTTCCCTCCTTCTTTCCTCCTCCTCTCTCTCTCTCTTAAGTTATGCTAATGAGTTATGCTAATGAGCTCCTGCACCTCTTTTTCTATGAAATGACCTCTGGGTATGACCCAGTTTATAGAAGAGGGCCATAAAGAAGAACAGAGACAAAAATGATGTTTAAAAATAAAACATATGAAGATGTTGATGATGTTTTGTTTAAGCCTTCTAGAAAAGAGAAGAGCACTGGGGATGAATTGTCTCCAAGTCTTTAAATAGCTTCAAATAATATTAGGGTCAGTGCTGGAAGGGAATTAGTCCATCTCACAAGATGGTAGAATAGGAAGTCAGCACACACACACACACAAAAACAGACGCGGAGGCTAAAATTTCCCAGCTGCAACAAGAACGGAGAAGATTCCCAAGAGAAATGCAACACTATTGTAGATTAGATTAAAATAATACATTAGCGGGGGATGATTCATCATAGAAAATACTAGAACACATTGAGGAGATTGTTTACAGCGGTAAAACTAGCTTAATGCGTTAGAATGATTTATAGTACGAAAAATTCCTAAATGGTCACAATTTAAATCCATGGTTGGTAATTATGGTGAGACTGGAGAGCCACCCCCTCTGGGTGTTGAACGGATGGGTAGGGATAGGCACAAACCGGCAGATGAGCTAAAGTCCGTCATGGATTTGGGCCGGTTCGTGAAGCCACGTTTGCAAACTGAAGGACCACCACGAACGTTCACGAATTTTGATACCGTTTCTGGTGGTTTGTGACGTTCGAATTTTGATGTAGTTTGTGGTGGTTCTTTGTGAAACAAAAACAGTTGGGAGCCATTTAAACCTGTACTTTCTGCTCCCCATGAAAAGCTGAAAGCAGGGGTTTAAATGGCTCAGAGCCTGGGGCTGGCTGGGGCTAGCTGCTCAGGGAAGCCTCTTTAAACAGCTGAGCAACGGGAGCAGTTTGCTCCACGTGGCTTAGCTGTTTAAAGGAGCTTTCTTGGGCACCCAGCTCCTGGGGCTAACTTCCTAGGAAAGCCCCTTTAAACGTCTGAGCCGCGGGAGCAGACTGCCTTTGTGGTTCAGCTGTTTCAGGCACGAACCTCATGAACCCGGTTCGGTTCGTATGCGCGCTGACTGGCTTTCTGGGTTCCTGTTTAGGTTTGTGAACCAAACCGTAAACCAAACCGTGAACCAAACCACATTTTTGTGGTTCGTGCCCATCCCTACTGATGCGTTTTCATTGGTGCATCAGAGGGAAACCTGCAAATCTCCTCCCGGGGAGGGCAGGGCTTGAGAAGGTAAAGGACCTTGGTGGGGTAGAAGGCTGTAGATCCCACCCTCTGAAGCAGCCATTTTCTCCAGGGGTACCAAGCTCTGTTTCCTGGAGATCTGTTGGGATTCCAGGAGAACTCCAGGCCCCACCTGGAGGCTGGCAACCTACATCCAGCCATGGCTTGCCTGTGGAAATGGCACTGGGCCACCCAGTCTGGCGGCTGCCCCCACTTCCACCGAAGAAGAAGAGAAGAGATTGGATGTATACTCTGCCCTTCACTACCCAAAGGAGTCTCAGAGTGGCTGACAAACTCCTTTCCCTTCCCCTCCCCACCACAGACACCCTGTGAGGGGGGTGGGGCTGAGAGAGCTCTTGACAGAAACCGCTC